GATTTCGACAAATAAGTTTCGAAGCGAAACATCTAATCTACTACTACCCTAATTTCCCTATCGATATGCATCTTTCATTGACGCCTACTAATCTGCGACCATGCCAACCATGAACGCGGTCTGAAGGTTTTTTCAACCAGTATGGCCTTTAACCCATCTTGTCCGAGTTGGCAGCTTGCGCTCATTGTTTTTTGTGGCTACTTGCCCTTATTTCAAAAACAAAGAGGATTTCCTTCTGCTGTCACCTATGCAAAAAACAGTGAAAACAATCAAATGATTGCATCAAGCAAAAATGGAATATTGAGAATATGAGAATATTGAGTGAGTTGGTCATTACAAAAAATAGTCAAAGCGATGTTCTGTAAGAAAGTACTAAAAGGAGGAAATTATTGCCCTGACAAGTATACTTGGTAATGGGTTGCAAAGTAGCATTTATGTATAGCAAACTTTCCATTCATAGCCCTTGACGAAAAATCGCGAGGGCGAGTTCCTGGGAGAATCGCGAAAATCCAAAGGTCAATGAATCATTGCGGAGGAGTGCATTTCATCCCTTATCGACAGGTAAGTAAAAAAAAACTAACAGGCCGTGAAGAAGAGCAAGCTCTATTCGAGAACAACTTTTATAAAATGCTATGGGTGAGTATCGACCAGTAGATTTGAAAAATATGAGGGCTCGCAATTTTGATATAATGAAAATAGCATACGGAAATGGGTGTAGTGCAGGTTACTGAGTCACAGCAGTTGAAAATGCTCAAGGACGTCTGAATCATGGAGCAAACAATGAACGAATCGTTCTAACTTGGCGGGAACAAAAAACTGAACTCGCTGCCAAGCGTTGACTGTGACCTTTGTGAATTGGCCCATTCACCAAATAATATAGAAGCTCGAATACAATAACAAAAAATCATAAAATAAGGTCTCGGCAAATGAGTAACGATATATAGAACTGCGGAAACCAACAGAATGATAAATGACGGCATATAATGTCAAGGAGTTGACTATGTTCCGGTAGATCTACGGATGCCCAGTTTTGGCATACCTTTTAATAATGAGTACAAAGCAGACGTATCCGTTTAGCTTCTGGGTAAAATGCCCCCTTCCTCCATTTTCTGGAAAGGTGGATACATGGTGATTGAATGATCCAAACCCTTCACAATTTCACATTTATCTACTAAAATTTATCTATCAGAAAATGTTCGACGAAAGTATAAAAACTGCTGCATTACGGCCGATATTGGGTGTGGTTCACTAAGGACAGAAAGCGACTTTTTCGCGTTTCGCAGCGCGAAACATTTTCGCTGCGGGAACCTCAGGTCCACCGCTGATCATCAGTGGACCCGAGGTTCCCGCAGCGAATCATCAGTGGACCCGAGATTCCCGCAACGAACAATGTTTCGCGCTGCGAAACGCGAAAAAGTCGCTTTCTGTCCTAATGAACCACACCCTTGTAAAATCATGGGAGTTTTGGTGGCGTAATACATCCGATGGTGCCAATTCAATTTACCACTTGACTTAGTAAAAACTCTGTACTTGAATGAAAAACGCAGGAGGCAAACTGCTGTAAATGTGGCCGCCGAGGTTCTACATGAAAACAACTGTATGGCACCACTCAAGAAAAAGACGACTGCGAGGAGGCACGTTAGAGGCTGCAAAAGTCGGAGCAGACATTGAGCTAATATAAACCCTGTTCCTAGAATATTATCTAAGCTAAAGGAATCAATGAGTTCCATCCATTTGATCCCACATTTAGCAGCAAGAAACGAAATTCCCTTGCCAAGAAATCTACATAGAATTCAAATCTTACATTATTAATAATGGATGACCTTCCATGAAAGTGAACAGACTGATTTTTTTTCCTTTTCTTTGAAGCAGCTTTCTATGTTGACATCATGAATGCAATTTGAACGTTTCGCAATTTACATGCACTAGCAATAAACCCTCAAGAACGAACTATAAAAAAACTCACTTTTGCGTGATGCCGTCAAGCCGAAAACTAGTTCCAGTTGCCCATAATGTTCACTGAAGAGTCACTTAACAGCAAAAAGGTACAATTGCTGGAACACCTTCCTGAACAAAGTTGACTGCCCCAATAGTGTAGTACCTGCCTATACAGGAATAAAACCATACGCTTACAATGGTCGAATAAACTCTCTTCATTGAAAATTTTAACAATATCACACATTTCTTTTAAAGAACCCAATGGTAATTCAAATTTGTACATAACCGTAGCGCAAGAATGAAACACTGACCACACTATCACTATGCGCCAAAGCAGGGAAGGTAGTGCCATCGAAGACACCCCACTGAACACTGCTGTCGAAAATCCACTTACACTGAAACTTTTCAAGCAATGTGGAACGAGGAGAAGGAAACGAGAAGCGATTTACATCGCATGACAAACCAAGGGTCAGAACGAGTGATTTCCTGCTCCATTTACAAACAAAGCACTCCAGCGTGGCCAACATTAAAGAATTAACATAAATACAGGTGTTCTCCATGCGGAGTGAAGGAAAAAAGTAGAACGATGGAACAGGGGAGGTCACGCAAAAATGGGTTACCGGAAATAAAATCAAGAAGATGTCCCAGTATTTGCGGGCATGATGGGGGTTTGACCAAGAATAAAGGGACGTGGTGGCATGAAATCCATTTTTTCTTCTTTCGATATGGAGTAGAAGTCCAGCACCTGAAAGCATTGTTGCCGTCAAATGACAAATAAAAAATCTTAACCGAAGGCAAAAAATACTACATTACAAAGCATGTGTCATAGAATGAAAAACGGATACCTTATGACATATATCATCTATAAGGCTGTTTGACAAATTTGCTATGTACTCATTCCACCAACAGTCCGGGAGGCCGATGTTGACTTTACGAACAGTAATCGCAAGGTGGAGAAGGGCAACAGCGATCACCTTCAAATAAAAAAAATATGGCACTACTTGAGAAAATTAGGAAACGATGTCTATAGAACAACTTAGATCACCTGTGGCTCCCAAATCAGGCACAATGTCGTAAAAGCACTATCGTTTACAAAAGTCCATGAAGTGTGAACTAAGGGAATTGATCTGAAAGTATACCCTTACATATTACTAGAGGATAGCTAGAGAATTCGTGTAGTTTTCCACTCTCTGTTTTAGTGCTTGAACTTCTTGAATAAATAATCTATGAGATATTGATAAGGTAAGTCAACTTGGAGGTCGAATTTCATTGTCTGCAAGAGGACACGCTCGATACCCATAATTTCGTCCTGAAAGAAAAGCTTTCAGTGAATCTATGCCTGAAAATAAGAAACTGCGATGACAAACTCACAACAAAAGTGTTTCTATTTTTATTCCCGTACACTGTAGGGAAGACGTTTTGAGCGGCAGTTACGATATCCTTGCACTTTTTTGGAGTCTCCGACACTTTGCCAGCAAGGAATAGGCAACCCATCGCGACAATCTGTAAGTTCTTACATAGACATAACGTTGGAGTGAAAGGTTAAAAAAATCAGTTGACTTACTTCACGCGGAACTCCTGCAATGTATGAAACATATAGAACCGGTGGAAATAGATTGAAGCGGTTCCTATAGTAGGCCAAGCTTTGCTGAAAAGTCATGATATATCACCTACGAAAGCAACACTTGGGCAAGATACTCCCAAATTTTGACAAATTATGCGCCGCTAGCTTCATTTCTGCTTTGGGGACGTGTAATGAAGTGGTCTTGCAGGGAATGCATCCCCGAAGCCACTATGTGTTTGCAGCGTCACCTGGGGCCGTAAGGTATGCTTCCCCGAATGCTTGCGGGGACGAAAGTCCCTTTAAATTTTTTGTTTTGAACGATACTGTTTCTTTATTTTCAATGCATGTTTACTTTAAGCTACACACATATATTAAATGTAGGCCCTTTATCAGGACAATCCCAGTTGGGACGACAGAGAAAATTTAAAGGGATTTTCGTCCCCTAACCCTTCGGGGAAGCATACCTTACGGCCCCTGGAGTCAGTTTCCTAACGGCTTCAACTTCGCGACGTCCCACCAGCTTCACACCTTTATGGTCTTTTCGAGTCTTGAAATTCAACCCGAGAATCTTTTTCTTGGATTTTTAACACTTTCAATATTTAAACTTTCGCGGAGGACACCACACGACCAAAGGACTTCTTACGGAATAAATACTTGTACTCACACCGTGTTCTCTCGCTTTCACGCCCTTTTGTGAAGCTAAACGGACCAATCGATAATTGTCGAGTGCAATGCGACTTTACTTTAATCAAGTGGCAGTTATAGGGAATCCACACATTGAAATAAGAGCGAAAAGTCAAGTAAAATGAGTGTGTTATAGGTGAACTCGGAAACGCAATGAAAAACAAAATGTAAGACTCACGCTCTCACACCAGTCCCCACTTCCATTATTAATCTGATTCCTTCTCTTCGAATTCTGGCCTCTTCTGCTAGAGACATCCCACGCCGTACGGATGGAGTGTCCTGAAAACATAGGCCTTCAAAACAACAAGGACCGAATGATGGTGTACTAGCTCGAAAAAAAAAACTTCCCGCTCACACCTTCACTTCCTACAGGAGACCACCAGCAGTCCTCATCGTTCTTTTGTCAGATAAACCGATAGGAAGTTTATAAAGTTGGAGATTTAACTTGAACACAATATTACGCAATGATGCACTACATAAAATATGCAAAAAGAGCTGCCTTTGATTGCGCACGGTTGCGTTGCGGTATTGTCATTGGAGCAGCGCTGGTTGCGCCGCCTCATCTGCATTATGGAAGCTGACGTGCTTTTCTAGGGTTGGGTTAATCTTGCTCATGGAAATATGACGAATTCAAGCTGTGCGGCTATGTTGGGTCTTTCTATCAATTCCTCGGTGCACTTAGTTGAAGGGGGGGGGGGACGATGCGGCGGCGCGGCGGTTTGTTCCCCTCTCGCTCCTCCAAGGCTTTAGTCGCGTCTTCGAAACTGCCAGGTGGCGACGAAATAGTAAGTGCCCCTTGGACACATAAGCCCTAGAGGAGCAGACGAACAGAGCGGCGCGCCGCTGCGTGGTCCCCCCTCCCTCCAACTAATTTAGCACCCATTCCTCTTATCACACTCACATGGGACGCGGTCTATGGACAGATATATTGACGCACCAACACATCAAGTTTACCAAGTTTGGTGTTTTACCAAGTGGGCGTAAATAATGGGAACCTAGGAAAAGCCTAAATCTGAAGACTGTCTCATGAGCTCGGATCATGAGCTTGTTACTAAATGAATAATATGCCACATTGACATGTAGAACCTCGACGAAGTCGGAGAGGGCAGCTATCGCGACGACGCATCGAGGTGTCTCCAAGCTAAACTCAGAATCTTCCAAAATGTGCTCATAAGGACCCGGCTTTTTTGGCAGATTATTCCTTTGGATGCCAGCACTTCAAGGACACAGTAGTCAGGCTCAACAGTTGGAACTGAGAGGCTACTGGTCGAGCTAGACAAGCAACTTGTTTTGCATGAAGTTCAAGTCGTTTTGGCTTCGTGTAGACTCCATTTATTGGAATGTGTAGGTGTCGCTTAGAGGTAAGCAAACCAGCCCTTTTGGCGTTTCGGCTGGGACCGTATGCTGAATGTTGGGGAGGGGATGGGGTCCCCAACGGTCGACGGTTTACTTCAACTCGGTTGGTACGATAGGAGAGTACTGACGCAAGTGGTGCAGCTGGTCCAGCAGCTCGCCAGAAGGACCGGTCTGCTCACCCTTGGACTAAGCCTAGGAGAGGGGACGGACCCGTCCTCTCTTTAAGGCTTAGTTCTAAGGTAAGCGCCAAATTGTGGCGGTTCTAAGGACCGCGTTGAAGTTGTCCGTCCACCGTCGGGGACACCCATCCCCTCCCCAACATTCAGCATACGGTCCCAGCCGACGAGGTCATAACTTATTCGGTACTCACACGCCCATCGATTTTTCATAATCTTTTAGGCTTTTAGATCTACCACGTACATTGTACTACTTATGAAACCAAAAAAATACCCTTATTTTTTCTTTTTTTCTCAGCTGCATTGAAACTCATTAGTAATCTCACTTAATTCCCTCTATCGAACCCGCAAAATATCCCACTCTCAATTGCGTTACATTCTGGTTTTTCACATCGTGGGGGGTAATGGGTACCGTACTTCTCGCGACCTATTTACATTTCGCTTAGACCCACGGGCTGGTCGGGCGATGTTGGTAATTTTCCACATTTCTCGACCTCTCTATCTTACCTCCTGGTTCATTTTCTCCTATGAAAACAATGGAATTTATGCAAATACGTTTCCGATGAAACAATATCTAAATCTATTACGTGCATTCGTTGCATAGTACACAAACAACATCAACAAGACACGTCTTGTCATCATGTTTCAGAATTGTTACAAAAACATCCCATTTACTCATTTTCCGACTATTCCGTTGAAATCGGCAAAACAGCAATTGGCCGGGCCCGAGCGCAATTCCATTATGGTATTCTTTTTGTCCTTCGATCGGGCATTCTTATAAAAGACACTCCTAAGTATCGCAATGGGAACCGTCATGGATAAGGTATTTGTGCAGAATCCAAAATGTCAGAACCATGACAAACACTCCTTATTTATAAACTTTTAGAAAAAGCAGTAGATCTATTGAGTACGCAACAGCAGAATATTCTACGACGGTCATTCTTTTTCCGCAAAAAAACCGATACCCTGTATACCCCCCCCCTGAGAAAGCATAATTACTATTATTCTGTCGCTACTAGGGCCGATTCAGGAAGATCCTATAAAGAAGGACCTAATCTTAAGGTATTTATGTCATAAAGAGACTCCTGTATAATGTTTTCGAAGTGGCCTACTGCACTCCACCCACCCCTGACTAACTACCCAGCTGGCTGCCATCTCGTGTCCAGCCTCTTGACAGAGGAAGGAGAGCGGAGCACACGTTTTTCAACCCGCGAAAACACTGACACGTACAAGTTCGAGTTTAGAACCATTCACTTTAATCCGTCCCTAATCGCTTAATCTGCGGGAAAACGGGCCAGCCATTGTAAAACCGCAAACTAAAATCACTGCACGGCTAAATACCATTACGCTTTCGGCTTCCTCTCTAAACAAATTGCCTCCATCCTGCTCCCCTTATGCATTGCCTCCCTCAATATTACATACTGTTTTACTCTTTCGTGTTCAGTATTACTGGGACACCTCTTTTAGACCTCGCATATTATTTGACCTCTCCATAACCAGTTTATTGCAGCTCCCATTCCCGCGACTGGTGTTCTATCAAATCGGGAAGCTTAACTTGCCATGTAACCTTCAAGGAACGGATTTATCCGACATGTCCACTCAGGATAATCCACAATTCTCCACGCCTGGGGGAATGCAAATCATGTTATCCATTTCGAATTGGTATTGCATTATAGTCTTGGTGTTTTGACTTACACATTAGAATTTTGACTGAACGATCACGCGATCTCCATGAACTAAAGTAGTGACAGCTGCTCCTCCCCTCCTTGTGGATAACTTCCATGCAGGATACCTAATGTTTCATGACCTGGCTTTGTCAGTTGACGAGCGTCACGAAATTCGCTCGAATACCTTATTGCAAAATCCGTAAAGTACTTTCTGAATGGGCGTAGGCTCAAACACGGGTTCTGATCAATAATGAATATTGAAATACAAATAGAATATTTCGATTTTCTATATTCAAATTTCCTCGCCTAGTCAGCAACGCCATCTCTGGCAGAGCGGAACAGATGGCACTGAGCGGACGCCCATCCGAACACACAACTCATTTGGCTTCTCGCTACGAGGATTTGTCTTACCCTTAATTGTAAAGTCATTGTGCTTTACTCCTCACCTTCCGTCCCATACTCCCCCCCGAATAGCAGGTGCTGGCCCAAGTCATAGAGCCAAACCCCCTCCCTCCCAAGGTATTCCCTGCAAAAACACTAACTATTCTGTCATTATTTATGATAACTGGCACAAGACACGAAACGTAGACTAGCCTTCTAACATTATCTACCCTAGTACCCGTTCTGGGCCACTAACATTCGGTGGATATTCGCAGTTGGCGCTATCGGAAGAGTAAAACGGACCACCAGTCTGACCACTCTACGCTCTTTTCCATACCTTGTTCATCCAGTCTTAAGTCCTCTCTTTAGAACTTGGCCGATTTACCACTTCGCGAAACACGTCTTTCATTGATGGTGTTTCATATCGCGGGAGCCTACACACTGGTAACTCGCCTGAAGGACATCAGCGTATACTTTGTGACCTATCTCGGGCCTGACATGAATATCAGTCATATTCAGACCGGGATCAAAAACAAAATTCGGATTTTGTCCACCATTGGTAAAAGGTCGTGGCATATTCAATTATAGCTTGGGCATGCTTCCACATCGTAGACCCATCACGACAGTCATTGGAGCACCAATCAAGTATGAGAATTCAGTTTTTAATGAATAGCCAGGAAGAAGATTGCATACCATTCGCAGTGTATTGTCTTGCTCCAGAAGTTTGTTCCTTCGCTAATCTGGACAACTACCCTTTAAAAGTAATCCAAACTGGTTTCAGAATCGTACGCCTTGGCCGGTAGCCTGTCCTTGGACCCCACTCAACTACTATGTAAGTTTGGTATAGGTTGGTTTGGAGCTTAACTAGCCTCGACGCACCTTTCCACCGCCATAAAGTTCTCTTCTCCATTCCACGCCATCAAATAAGTCGCGAGTACTTCTCCACATCTTTGGCCCCCTGGACTTTCGGGGAAATCGGTCGTTAAGTGAAAGAGTCGAAAAAGAAAGAATTCTCCTAGAAACAGCGACCTCTAGAGTGTTGAATCCGACACGCACATCGCAGCGACGATATCCTCGCGATTCTACGGACCCCACCCCGCGGCGCGTTCGCCGTGCACCATCGCTGGCACCCCCGTGTACTCTCCTAAGCCGTTCGAAGAAAAGAGTTCCACGCTGATACAAGCATCTATGAAGTCGCATCCATCGAACCAAATCAAATTGCCCGTTACGCCCTTCTAGCATCTCGTTTTTCTTCATCCCATGCACTACCAAACCCCTCTCTACCTTAGTTTATGGACTACTTTTATCGTAAACTGCCCACCCTGAATGTCTCAATCGGGGTAACGGATAAACCGGTTACTTGAAAGCATTCCTATCCCCAAATATGGAAGGTGCCTTTAAAAGCCATCCCAAAATATTCAGTATTAGGGAATGAAGAATGAGACTAAGCAGAGAGTCCTACTTACCGTTACGATGGTCCATAGTTCATTATCGCCTACAAGATCTTGGCCAAAGCCCATCTTTCACTCTATAATGTATGCTATACGAATTTATAGTGATAGTTGGTAAATGATAGTTGTAATTAGTGACAACTGATAGAATACAACTGCAACAGGCTAATCATTTCATTGGCAGAAAACATTACATTTTGTGGAGGCCGTCGTCACTTGTGGTGTGTGGTCTGCACTCGACGAGTTCTGGTTTTTGGGAAGGAGGGTATACCTCCTAATGTTGACTCACGAGTTATCGAAATAACTGATAACGAACGTGAAACTGAACGTGAGCTCAACGCAAGATCTTTGAAAAGAAATTTTTTATTAATACTGCTTTATTACACGTAAAATATCATCACATGCACCATAAACTCTGTATACAAATATTGCGCAAAATATCAATGTATAGTCAGATGAACATCCTTTGGAATGTCATGTAGGCTTTTATGCTGCTCAAACAGATCAACAAGGGCTCTGCAGTACTTGGCGTGAAGTACGTCTATTTCTTGTTCTGTGGGATTCTCCGTTTGTGTAACTCTGAAAGGTAAAGTATGGAGAGCAGACTAGATGACAAGGTTCAAGCCTTTTGAAGTGAACTATTCATTTTATTCCTCTTCGAAAATCCTTTTCTCCTTGTGGCGAAAGAGAGGACAAAGGACAAGTTTGGCCCGTACTTTGGCTGATAATGGGGCTAAGATCAATCTGTTTGCCAACCAACATATAAGCCTGCTACCAGCTGCCTTTCGCCCACCCATAGAGTGAAAGAGGGCTTGGCAAAGATGGTGGCGATATGAACCATGGACCATCTGTACGGTAACGCAGACTCTTGCTGCTTCGTCAACTTCTTCGTTCCTAAACTCAACTATTTTGGGATGGCCTTCTAAAAAGGCACCCCTCTCCCCATATTTGGGGTCAGGAATACTTATCAAGCAACGGCTACTACGAAGTTACCACGATTTGACGTACATTCAAAGGGGGAGTTACGATCAAAAGGTAGTCCATAAAAAACTAAGGTAGAGGTGGTTGGTAGTGGTGGGATGAAGAAAAAAAAAACAAGAGAAATGTCCTAGAAAGGGCGTAACGGGACCACTTTCTCGACCTTGGTTCCGCATTGATGCGACTCTCATAGGTGCTGTCCTCCTCAGCGTTAACTCTTTCTCTTCTGAACGGCTAGAGACCTACGACGAGTGGTTAGCCACAGCCGATGGGCGTGCCACGCCGAAGGCGCCGCGGGAAGGGTCACGCTAGATCGCCGGAGGCATATCCTTCGCTGCGATGTGCGTTTCGGTCCACACTCTCAGAGGTCCGCCTGACTTCTCACTCACGGAGAAGTCTCCAGTCTTCGACCTTCCACCTTAACGCGGAATTCTCCTTCGAAAGTAAAGGGTACCAAAAACAGATGGGAGAAGTACTTCGGCGACTGTATTTGATGCCTTGGAAGGAAGCAAGGGACACCTTTATGGCGGGGAACGGTGCGCTGGAGCGTAGTTAAGCTCCAAACCTAGAACCGCATCTCCAGCCGAAAACCCTTTACCATACGGTGAGGTTTTGAAGTCGGGCTCCCGAGGACACAGGCTAATACCGTCCGAGCAAAAGACAGTACGATTCTAAACAGTTGGATTACTCTCTGAAGGAGTTTCTCCAGATTATCAAAGGAATTTCTGGACAAACCAATGCACCGCGACATGCGTATGCACATCTTCTTCCTGGCTATTCATTAAAAACTGAATTCTCATACTTGATTGGTGCTCCAATGACTGTCGTGATGGGTCTACGATGTGGAAGCATGCCCAAGCTATAATTGAATATGCCACGACCTTTTACCAATGGTGGACAAAATCCGAATTTGTTCTTGATCCACGTCTGAAATGCTGAAGACTTCAATGTCAGGCCCCGAATAGGTTACAAAGTTACCTGAATTTCGCCTCAGCGATACCCGTGTATATCCTTCCCAGCGGTCAAAGACGTCGTTCTCGCCGAAGTGGTACATCGGCACAAGATCTGCACTAAAGTAGAAGGACCTTAAAGACTGGATGAACAAGGTGGAAAAGAGCGTAGAGCTGGTCAGACTGGTGGGTCTCCGTTTTATTCTTCACGATGCGCCACACTTTCGAATATCACTCGAAATTGTTAGTGCCAGAAGGCGTACTAGGGTCATATAATGCTTTGAAAGGGCAGTCTATTCGTTGGTCACCGCGACAAAGCCTTCCTTTCGGAGTCCATCAAAAAAACTGATCCAGAAAAGGATTAGTTTCTTGCAGTGGAAATACTTGGGGGGGGGAGGGGGTTGCTCTATGAACCTTATTGGTGGGAGGCAGCACCTGACTACCTTCAGGGGGGGGGTATGGGGCGGTATGGGACGGAGGGGGAAGAAATAAAAGCCATCTATGTACTCTTACCCATATTTAAGGGCATAACGACAAAATCCTCGACGAGAAGACAAATTGAGATCGTGTGTTCCAGGATGGGCGTCCAGTGCCTCTGTCGCTCCTCCCAAGACGATGGCGATTGCTCGACCTAGGCGAGGACAAAATTTGGAATATAGAAAATCGAAATATTCAATATTTAATATTCAAAATTCATGTTGGGCAGAAATCGGTTTGCCGCCCACACGCCTTCGAACTTACCCTTTACCAAGGATTTGTACAAGTATTCGAGCGACTTTCGCAGAACGGCCTCAGCTCGCACCTGAAACAAGAGGAGTAATTGAAAATCTATGGGGTCTGTCCGGAACTTCTCAAAAGGGTAGAGGAAGATACTATACTTGATCAATTGCTACTAGGCAAACACTGATTGATGGTCCAGATCGCTCACTATAGAGTTAAGTCCAAACACACCAAGACCAATGCCAAATATCCCTTCGGAAATGGAAACCAGAATTGCCCATTCAGTGTGAGAATTGTGGATTTCAATCCTGGAAACATGTCCGGAAATCCCGTTCCTGAGGTAACCATGGCAGTAAATGCTCCGATTGACAGAACACCATGCGGATGGGAGCTGCAAAGAACTTGATTATGGAAAAGGCAAAATCATGGTAGGTACTTTGCTAGGCAGGTTGTCACGATTAAACTGAAAGATCCGAAGAGAGTAAAACAGATCTGTAATACTTTGAAGGGAAGCCAACTAAGGGAGCATGATGAGGCCAAATTTTGTCTAGAAGAGGAACGCCGAAAGCAGTCTATATAGGAATTTACCCGTGTCAGTTGAATTTTATTCGCGGTTGTTCTACAACTGCTGGCCGTTCACCGCCAGACTCTAGCCGGTTAGGGACGGATCAAGGGAGCGGCTTCACAACCTCGAACCTTGTTAGTCATTGGTTTTTCGCGTTTTGAAACTAACTGTGAGCTCCGCTTTCTCTCTCTCAAAAAGGTGGGAATCCCAAGCGGAACATGGCGCAAGCAGTTGGGTAGCCATTCAAACGGGTGGGCGGAAAGCAGCGTAGGTACTCCGAAAGCCCTTACTACAAGGAGCTCCCTTTCCTGTAAACAGTGCCTTAAACAGACTAGGTCCTTCTATATAGCACTTTCCAGAATTCGAGCGCCCATATTAGCGCCAGAATAATAGCTAAATTAACTGCCTTTCACACTCAGTTGTGGAGGGTATCTACAGGGTATCGGTTTTTGCAGGAAAAGTAAGCTCCGTGTAGACGAACTAATCTGCTCGTGCCAAACTCAACCAGATCAGTACTGCCTTTTTCAAACAAGTTTATACAATAATACGAGAAGGAGTGTTTTGATCGTGCTTCTACAATAATATTTGGATGCCTCTGCAACCAGGAATGCCCTGTACTAATACAGCATTCGCCATTGCGATCTCACATACGTCCTTTTCGTTACCTCTACATCCGCATAGATCGAAGGGGCAAAATAGACGTATCCCGATAATGTACATTGGGTCGGCGAGCAAATCTGGCCTGTTTTGACGATTTTCAACGGAATAAGTTAGTCGCAAACTGGAGTCCAAATTGCCATGATTTTGACCAAATTTCTGAAACCCACTGATAGAACAAGAATTCCTATTTGTTCTTGTTCGTGTAAGCTATGCAAACCAAAATGGCCAAAGCGCAAAAAAAACAATTTATTTTCCAAACCGGTAAAACTTTGTGGCATGAAATTCCATTCCTTTCAAGATGGTAGAGAAATGAACAGGAAAGTAAGAAAGAGAAGGTAAGGAAATGCTGGAACTCACCCAACATCGCGATCCCACGCCGTGGTCTATCGAAATCGTAATAGGTCCACGAGAAGTACAGTACCATTACCCACCAAAACCGAGTGAAAAACAGAATGTAGAACGGCAACTGAAGTGGGATATTCTGGTTCGATAGAGGGAATAAGTGACTAATTATTATCTTCAATTTATCTGAATAAGAAAAAAATCCAATAAAAATATGGGTTATTTTTTGGTTTTCCTGGTGTCACAGATGAGTGATCTAGTAAACTTGAGAAAGCAGAAGGATTATACCTACCCATGTGGAGATAATTGTAATATTTATCCAAAGGAACATGAAATGGACTACGGCAAGAGTTTCTAGTCGGCTCTTTGAAGGAACAATCAGTGGCTCCCAGTCAATACCGAGAAATCGAATCGGTCGAATGAACATCCTGCAATTTTAGTCGTTTATTTTTAACCATTTCTTATCGTGTTCATTTTCTGCGCTCTTTTCTATAGCTAAGACAGCAACGCCCAAGCCCTAGCTCATACGAGGCTTGGTAATAGTACCCGGGCGTGTTAGGAGGATAAAAACTGTTATCTGGTGGCACCTCAAGTCATTGTATAGGCCACACCGCATTCGAGTGCAACTGCGATTTTGAATGGGAGTAGAATGCGTGGCGCACCCCATGAGAAATTGATCTTCACAGGAAACTTTATTATTTTGTTAGTTTAAGAGTATCGAATGGCGCATTAGCAAGTGCATCCAGAGCCACTAAAAACATATTCATCTTTATATTCGTTTTGTTTACTGCCCTCTTTGCACAGGTAAGCAGCTTGACCCACCACAGAGTCCCCTCGATTAATCTCATCTTTTCATTGATTTTTTTTCAATTTTCCCTTTTTTGTGAGGTATATGGTGTAGAAATGTGTGAATAGGTCTACAACTGCGATAGGAAATTGCTCATAAATTAGCGGGACGCCTTATGTCGGCAACTAAGGAATAAATAGCAGCCTCGAATGTAACAGTGGATACAAACATCCAAAAAGGCTCTATAAAGTGGGGTGGCACGCCCAGCTTTTCACGCATGTCAAGTGACTGCCCTCACCCCCCAACCCCCTAGATTGGCTACACTCCCCTGGCCTCACGAATTCCCCGATTCTCGTGACAGTATAGTAGCGGGCAGCAGTTCCCCACCTTACATAACATTTCCGTTCAAAAAAAAATGCGGCGTGCCCACATGCTGTATAGCACCGGCAAAAATACTTTAGTATACTTATCTGTGTAAAGTAATATTAAAAAATGACAGAAGTACGAAAATGACCAGAAAAAGGCAATTAAAATTGCAAATAAAGGAGAGGTCACTATCGGTGCAGCCTTGTTGTTGAAAAAAATCAAAGTGGAGATCAAAAGTTTGCGTTCGCATCAATATCGTTGTTCCCTCTCTCTAATGTCTTCAGAGGACAACTTACAAGAGTGATGGTTCATAAAGGGTAGATGATAAGGCGCCCATCCCTGATCAATGTTTTTTGGGATGCGCCACGCATTCTGCTTCTTTGGGAAATCGCTGTGTCACTTTGGATGCGATTTTGCCTATTCAGTGACTTGCAGGGGCCAACCACCGAACATCTCGAAATTTTTATCCTCCCGGACAAGCCTGGTACCGACTATGTAGTTGAACCGGTAGGGATGGAATGATTGCATAGCTTGGCACCAGCACAACCCCAGACCCTGCGCGTGGTAAGTAGTGCATGCATACTTCATTCAAACTTAAGAAAGTAAAGTACTGAAACACTTAGAAGTCATTATTCTTTCCAATGCTTATGTATTTATTTATTACTCTGTCAAATGTTTAAAAATTTACCCTCTGAATTTATCCAGCCACATTAACATTTCCGTCACTGGAAGCTTCGAGATATCGCAGTTGAAAAACATCGACTCTGTAATGAGTTACCTTAGAACCACGCTCAGTCACGGTTTAACATAGATAATTTGTTGAAATGAATATATGAGAACAGAAGAGATGGTTACAAGGACAAGAGGAAAACAGGTTTTCATCAGGTTTTTTTTTAATTTTTTAGGAAACCTTTGAAGTCGGGGAGATGATGAGCCATTCACACTTTCACTGTGCGTCTGTCAATCAGATAGTAGGGCTCTGGAGTCAACCAGATGATAAGTTATTAGTTTAGATAGGTAAAACCACTACTGCGAAAATCAAGTTATTCCCAAAAACCAGTACTGCGAGCATCAGCTAATCCCCAAAGTTCTTATAAGAGCCAAACATTTGCATTGGCATTTTTCATGCTTTTCTAAACTAGTGCGATCCACAGAAACTCACTGAACCTTTGCGATTTCATCTACTTTTTTCATTTTTGCTCGGGATTTTGGGTGTTCTGTGACTTGTTTTTAGTTTCAAAATTTGCCATTCATGATTAGCCTAGTAAAACAATGTGACACACGACTCAGTGCTGGGTCTGGAACTGACAACATCCGGCTCTGCGACCATATTCTCAATCCTGCCGTTCTTGGTGCCCTAACTTTAGACCGACATCCAGTCTCAGCGCAGCTTGGGTAGTGCTTACCACAGATCCAAACTTAGCATGTGCTGTCCAGAGGCGGTGCTCATCAGGATCTAAATGTTGAACAACAGTTTGAGGCTCCAAAAATTTATTTCAAAAAGCTTCAAAAGACTGAATCTCGAAAGCTTTCCAAAATATTGCAATATTTCGGTGCTTAGCACCTTCGCCAGGCCTGGAATGAATGAAAATGAAATGAAAAAAGGAACTTTAGTAAGAAACGTTATTTAACGCCTGGCGAAGGTGCTAAGCACCGAAATATTGCAATCACTTTTGGAAAGCTTTCGAGATTAAGTCTTTTGAAGCTTTTGAAATAAATTTTGGAGCCTCAGACTGTTGTTCAACATGTACGTATCCAAACTGTTCACGTGTGCGCATGGGGTTTATAGGATTTGAAGTAATTTGGTTTCCTTGAGTGGGACTTGTCAATATAGGGTCTTCCACTAGATACATGAAGAGATCAGCTGCGGGATTTCTTGAAATACCCATCCCGACACAACTTCTCTTTTCATTTGTCTCCAAGTTGCTATGCAGATTCCGTTGATAAGGCTACCTGGAGTTCTTATGTACGAGAGGAAACTTGATCTCTTTTCATCAGTTTCATCTTTTTTGAAGGCTGGGGACGGTGTAATATTTCAGAAACTATGAGCGTCGAGACAAATTCTCTTGTACATTGTCAAATGAACACATTTGCTCGACGCTGAACGCAGGGCTAATGGGCCGAAAAGCATCAGATACGCTGCAGCAATAATCATGTAGCTTCGGTTGTTACGTGTACAATATGTATACTTAATTAATTTTAATTAATTTAAGTACATACTTTACTATACACGTTATATATGCATACATAAAATAATAGTTAATTAAAAACAAAAAAAGTAAAAAAAAATAATAAAAAAATAATAAATATTGAATGTATACAGCAAAATATTTTGCAATGAGTAGCCTTTTGCAAAATTTTTGTCTAGACGCGGGCATCCCAAAAAGTCCTTCTCAGAAAAACTGGCTTGGTCCATAAGTCTTTTGAAGCTAAACGCTAACTTTTATGAACCTTTGATTCACGTTTCTGCCTTCTTACGTTCAGGGTTTCTTTGAGAAGCGGGCTAATTGCGCATCCAAAATGATACCAATCTATCATGTAATGTATGTAGTCATTTCGACAAATTGGACTGCGCCGAATCTTCATTCCCTTTTGGTTCAGGTTGAACACATTTGTCCCAGCGACAGCTTTCACTTGCAATATTAGGTCGTCGAATATCACAGTAAGGCATTTGCAACGCGATTGAGCACCTTCCTGGATCTTCTCAAGGAGATGAAGGCAGCCGTCTGGAAGGTAACTGATGCATGAAAGATGAAAAAAAAACCAAGAGAACGGCCTAGAAATGACGAATAGTACCCCTTCCTTGCCCGTTTTTCCGCATGAATGCGACTCTCATAGGCTGCCCCCTTCAACGTTAGCGCTCTCTTTGCTAAACGGCTACGGGCTCAGATATCTAGAAGGGAGCCTAACGCGCGATAGCGCGCCAAAGGTGCTGTAGGGAAGGCCATGCTAACCATAAGCGTCGGGGCATAAGCTTCACTCCGATTCGTGTGTTAGTCTGCATCCTTGTGAGGTTCGCCTGTCTCTTCACTAGGCAAGTTTCCCTCATTCAACCTTATCCTTATAGTCAGATTCTCCTTTGAGTGCCTCGAGGTCCAGTGGTTCGTTCTCAAAGGGGCAATGATGTACAGTCGTCCTACGATACGGCGACTGTTTCCAGACCCCATTTCGTTGCAGAAAACTTAAGTTATTTATGGTAATCTTTTCCGACGGATGAAGCTATATAGCAGAGAATTGACATAATCGAAGGTGTTTGGGGCATGACAGTGGAAGGATGCTTCAAAAAGCGCTTG